GAAAGACCCTGAGCTGAAAAATAGCTTCAACCTAGTTTCGAGAAACATGGGGATTAAACCATGTGGTGTTGAAAGTGACAACACACATCATATAAGAATACTGGCGTAGTTATTCGTATTGGTCATCTACTACAGCTTAGCATACAACCACAACAACACAGAGACGCTGATAACAGCATTTATTATCTCGTACTTTCTGTAAATAAAGGACTTGAATTTGAGAGAAACTTAAAGGAAAAAGACACGGAGATAAGACCTGAAGATGGACAGTGTTTCAGGTGGGCTGGCCACCCATATGGCAAAAACATAACAAAGCCTGTTTTGGAATCTACCAACTAGCTCATTATTTCTGGATTTTAAAAAGGGACAATAGCAGGAATAGAATAGGAAAGGTAGACAGCGACTATATCATGAAGGTTTTGCATGCCACATAAAGATTTTACTTCTGAGGCTATAGGCAGTCATTAAAAGAATTTGAGTAGGGCAGTAATATGATCACATTTTCATTTGAATTAGGTCATTTTGGCAGAAGTGAGACAGATGAATTGGGGGAGGGAGACAGGAGGGCAAATGGAATGAGATGAAATTCACAGACAAGTACACATATTGATGATTAAGTGACTGGTGGCCTGAGCTGTGTCAGCTGTGGTCAGGATAGAGAAAAGAAAGTGAAAAAATTACAATAGGATTTGAGGAAATTTTTTTAATATTACAGTTTTCTAACCTCCAAAGAGTTTTCAAAAAATTACACAAGGCTATTGAATTCATTTTCAGTTTAACTAAGAATGCTTGATGTCTTATAACAAACACATTTTGTAATTTTAGTATGAAACAGGTCGGTTTAAATTTAGGAATATTATTGGATAATGATGGCATTCATTGAGAAAAGGAATATAGGCTAGCAAGCAGAGCTGAATGAGAAAGAAACCAATTCAGTTGAGGGTGTTCATATTGAACTGCCTACACTACTAATATTGTATTTTGAGAAAAAATTGTTGCAATAAATTGTGGCCCAAAAAGGAGATAACTCACACTTGTAATTTTGGTTTAAACAATAGCTAAACATAATGTTAGAGAATAAATATGAGAAGGTTGAATTTTTGGCCATTTTATATGATTTCAGGATGAATTTGCTACGAAGTTAAGTAATTACATGACACATTTCAGAAGTTTCTGGGAGCAATAAAAATGGTACATTTATAATATGGGTAAAATTGCCCATTGTACTCATTCAAGGTAAAAAGAAGCAATGTCTCAAACTGGAGACATCAAGGATGAAGGAGCAGACTAAGCAAGATTTATGCCTTTTCCTGGAAGCAGACCTGAATACATCACTTTGAAACCCAATGATTTAAATGGCTATCTTCAGGATTTATTTATGTGAGATATATACCTAACATCTCAAGTAACAATTACCATTATCTCTTGAAACCCAACATAATTCCTTGATTACTGATTGTTTAGTAATCATCTGTTGAAAAGAAACTTTTGACCATATCATGTTTAGTATGCCATAATTAGTAAAACTTGCTTTAGAAAGTTGTGGGAGGGGGTGAATTTAATTAAATTACATTGTAAGCACATATGGAAATATCACCATGAAACCCTACTGTACAAATAATATATGCAAATTTTTTTAAGTTGTGGAAGAATAAATGAAAATGCCCTTTGAAAAAGCTAAATGCTGCATAAATGCATGATATTCCTACCATAACCTGGAGCATGATACAATAGCTCTACCATACACCCTACCAGCCAGCCTGTCATTTCACCAAGCTTCATTAAGAGAATAACAGATGGGCAACATATAAAAGTTGACATTTGGAAAATGTGGGTTTTGACCTTTGGCTCTCTGCCCTCAGTCCCACAGGGTGGCCCTTAATTCTATTCCACAAGAGACTACAGGAAATGCTTGTGTGGTCAAACTGGTTCCACCATTGGTTTTATTCCAACCAAAGCTCATTAGTTTTACTTTTCCCTTTGGATTAGTGGGTTATGATTTTATTTGTTACATTATAGAAGGCACTAACAGCTTGTATTTTCCTTATTCCCTGGCATTCAATCAACTACATATTCATTACATTTCCGTTCTTAAGATTAAGTGGTGGTTTGCTGTATATCCTTAGATTTGGTTGTCATTTTAAACATCTATTAATTATTCTAACCATAATAATATGCCATCCATTCTACATCTCTCATCAAGATAAATTAAAAATGAACTAGTATTCTAACTTCAGCCTTAAAAATCTAGTCCTCTACTTTCCAATAAAGTAGCCTCTGGACACATATGGCTGGTTAGCAGATGAAACATGACTACTCCAAATTGAAATGTGCTGTAAGTATAAAATATGTACCAGATTTCACAGACTTAGTATGAAAAAATAATATAACATATCTCAATAAGTTGTTAAAATGTGTGTTGAAATGATAATATTTTGATTAGAAAAACAAGATATATTCTTAAAATTAATACTAACTACTTCATTTTATTTCTAATACAGTGACTGAAAAGTTTTACATTACAAATGTGGGTTGCATTATATTTGTACTGAACAATTTTGATCTACATGTTCAGAGTCTAGAAATTTCCATTCTTAATGACTATTTAGTATTACTAATTTAATTCATTCTTTTAAATGAAAGTAATTAATGGCTATTAATCATGCGGAAGTGACACTAACCTTAGTCTTCTACTTGACTTAGAAGCCTGTGGTAAGGACTTTCTGTCATTCCGAGTGATACCAAGTGCTGAACCAGAAGTGCTCTAATGCTGCACTTCCCTGGGGATGACCCCCTTGGCCTTGAGCTCTACTGAGCATGAGAAGCAGTGAGTGACACGTAACAGCCCATACCTTGCTGCATGTCTCAGGCAAATGTCCTAACACTTTTTTCAAAGCAAAAGCAAGAAATTAGAAAAGTAGATTTGTTCCTAGTAGTTTTGATTTACTTCAAACTCAGTTCTTAGTATGTGTGTAATGTAATATATGTATTATGACCACCTATTCATACATTTGGAGGTATTTTTAAAAAACAGGTGGCCATTACATTTGTGCCTGACATACTAAAAAAAAAAAAAAAGAACCTTAAGGAAACTAAAAACAAAAAAAAAAAAAAGAGAGAAAATATAGTGTTAAAAAAAAATCACCAATCATCCCTCACACCACTAGTTTCATCCATGGAACAAAAACAAGAATAACAAACAGGCTTAACTATGTGAAAAAAGAAATATCCTCTGATCTAAAATATACAGCAAAGCCTTCACTAAATATAAAGGAAGAATAAGCCTAAAATGAACCCACTTGTGTAAAGGAAATGAAAAGAGAGAGAGGGACAGACCCAGAGAGAACCAAAGAGAGAGAACTGATAAAGGCTCAAAAGAAAAGAGTTGGATCAGGTAAGTTTGTCCTGCATAATTATCCTACCCCTCACTAAGGAAGCACACTTTATAGCTGTGGCAGAAATTTATTGCTTCAAGACAAACTTCTACTAAGAAATTATTCAGCAAGTTTAATAATGCAAAATAGTGCACTTAGACTAACTTAATCTTAAATAGACCTGTATTTTGAAAACAACTCACAAAGTAGAAAATGGAGAGTCAACTAAAGAATGCTCAACACTACTGTTCAGAGGAACTTAGTATTATTCTGGGTTTTTTTAAACTTCTAGTTTTCCAGATACACAAACTGAAGACTGAATTTAGTTGACTTTCTCAAAAATAATAAACTGCCTGTAAAAAGAACAGAATGAGGAGTAAATTAATTTCCAGCTCCCTTTTCACTGATTTCTCAGATAATTATTTCCCTACACATCCTAACAGTGAAATTTGCTATTCTGACCAGACGAATAGCTTTTCAGAGATTTAACATGAAAAAGTTACTTTTTTTATCATATTATTTTTGTATTGGTAGTACATTGTACATTTATGAAAGTTCTTACAATATATCATAGCTGAATTTACCTCTCCATCATTCTCCTAGAGCCTTTACTAGATAGATGATTCATGAATCAAGTTCAAATTTTTTATAAAATGGATACCTTTAAGGTATTTAAAGAAATACCTTTCTTTTTTATTAAAATGAGTTTAGGTTATTTATAATATTCTAAACTTTTCACTTTCAATATACCACAGACACTTTTCCTTTTCAATACTTTACTGCCTTTTTTATTGACATAGTTTTCCACTCTATGATGTCCCTTAGTTTTTTTACTCACCACCTTATCAATCACTACTTACTTAGGGCACATAAGGTTTTTCACTACTACCAAGAACAGTACAGGGATGTTCTTTGGCTCATATTTTGAAACTTATGTGAGGATTTCATTAGGATAAATTCCTAGAGGTGGAATTTCTGAGTCAAAAATTATGACATTTCTTGGTGCCTTTGACAGATAATTGTAAAAATCACAGTCCAAATCAGTTGGACAAATTTATAATTCCACAAGAAATAAATGAGATGGCTTCTCATAACCTCATAAACACTGAGTGTTATCAACTGTTTTAATGATGCCTGACAGGAGAAGAAAAATATATCTCAATTTTTGCTCCATTAAAATATTTTTGACAAATCAAAGTAGAGTGTACATTTTCCCTTACATCTTTTATCCTCTACAATCTTGCTTAACCAGTCTTTCCTTATGCCATCTGTGAAAAAATATTGTCCTTAACGTACACAATAAGAATGTCAATTTCCATGGCAATCTTCAGGCACATTTGGCCATGTGATCACACTGAGGGGTCCAATACAAATTACACTTGGTAACATCTCAGTCTTAATGGAAAGAAAATATTTTAACAAACTGGCACAATCTAGACTATATGTAATAATATTGAAACAACTTCAAATCTACCAGGTAGAGTAAACCCCAAATTAAGGGAAAACAGCAAGTGGAAGTTAGAGTTCTGTAAGTTCTGAGGGATGATCACTATAAGCAATTTATCCATCGTTCTTAGTAAATTCCTTCTCTTTCCTATCTTTTCTTTCTTCCTATCTGCCTTCATCTCCAAGTACACACTGAATTAGGATTTTTGAACTCTGGAGAAACCTGATAAAACAATCCAATTTGTTTTCTCTTTCCTTTTTTTTTTTTTTTCACATCTGCAAATTACTCGTAACCATAGTTTAATCTCAAAAAAAGAGCACTAAATTTCAGCTTTCCCAGAATCAACAAATTTGAACCTCAAGTTGCAATGTGATTTAAAGATAATCATCTGCCATAATCTTTTAGACCAACAGCAAAATGTCTTACCAGAAATAAAACTTTGACCTATTTTTCTAGCTTCTCTTAATGCAAAAATACCAATACTAAAAGAGACAGGTTATGAGTAGTCTCTTCCAGGAATGGAAATTTACATCAGAATAAATCTGAATCGAGCCCATGATTTATACCCAACTCAATATTTTAAAGAAAAAATGTAATTGTGCAATTGTATAATTATGATTTAATCAATTGCTTATCTAAATCAATCAATAGCCTGTCAATATGCACCAGGATTGATTATATATTAACCATGATTTTCAAAGAAAACTTCAGAGGAAAACAATGACTAACAGAATGGACCTTTAGCAAGAATCTGAATTTGGATTTTGCCCTTTATGGGCTGACCGGTTTGGGGAAAATTAGATAACTAATTTACATCATCAGTAAAAAATGGAGTAATTATAGCTACTCCACAGTTTTATTATGGAAGTCAATTTAAATAATATTATATGTATATACAGTATTAGCATCATCTCAGCACAAAATTGTCCAAAATGATTAGCCATTATCATTCTTTAAAAGGTACTGAGATCCTTTGCTGCCTTCATCTTAGTTTCTTTGAAATTCATTGATTTGGAATTTCAACAACCTTAGTTTATATTGTACAAGACTACTAAATATCTATCGTAAGTATAAATTCTTGGTATACTTATACAACTTCCTTTTTATCTCTGACCTGTTGCTTATTCCTTAGTACAAAAGAATCTAGGTGGTTTTCCAGAAGGTTTTTAAAAAGACAGAAATGGTAAGAGAATAGAGTTGGAGCCCCCTGTTAGAGCTGGGATTTAGTTGATGTTCTCCCAGAAGGACACTGATACAAGGATTTGAGTGCAAATAGCTTTTTGTTTTTAAAGAAATGTAAGGAAATAGATACGAGATACAAAGAAGTGTGGCTTTTCCATCCAACTATCACTCTAGGTGACTTGAGCTTAACCTTACTGAGGAACTCTGACAGCCAGTGCAAAACACGTATCTTCCAGCTATTGTGTCCATGAGGTAGAGGAGCTGAGGTATTTATATCCCAGCTCCTGGGGTCACAGTTGAGGCTGCTCCCAGGGTTTGTTAATTCTCTACCACTTGTGGCCTCCTGATCATGGATAATGGGCATAGATGGTTTCTGTGGTTCTGGGGAAAAAGGAATCACATATCAAAAATGCTAATGCTGAGATGGAAATTAGTGGGCACCCACTGACTGACCAGCAGGATGAGAAGTATGGGCACTGGTATATGCTTCAGGGTGCCCAAAACTCAATCAAACTGAAAAAATGGGAGCTAAAAAGTAAATCATGCCTTGTGACAGAATTGATTCTCTAGGGTAAAAGTAACACATGAAAGAAGTATGAGCATAAAAAGCAGAAGGCTAAGATTTTTTGTTAAGTTAGAAATGCTGCAGTCACAAACAAAGCCCAAACTTTGGCTTGAAGGGTGTGGTACACATCTCAACTCAACTAATTTTATCTTGGTGTACATAAGCAAGAAACATATGGTGCTATCGGGCCTTCTCCAAAGGTACATGGGCACACCTTGGGCCTTTGGTTGCATCTTCATCTGACCAGCCATTATACATCCTGCAGTACTTCTCAAAGCATACCCATGGATGTTGTTAAGCCAGCTACACTATTCAGAATCTCAGAGGCAGGAGTCTGTTTTGGAGCTTCTCTTCAGGACTGCTGTTTCCTCTCAGGAAAATTTGAATACCTCCAGACTCCAGAAGTCCTTTTGTACTCAAAATTTAGCTCGTTATCATGGCATTTTCTTCATTTTCCTGGCCTGCTGCACCAACTTCAGTGGGTGCTGACTTCCTCTGCAATAGAGATCCAGGTAGAAATTGAGGGCTGGGAGTCTAGGCTGAAGTGGACCTAAAATTATGAGAGAACCTGTGACACCTGACCACTCCTTTCCTAACTTTTTCAGCAAATATTTATTGAGAACATACTTTTCTCTTAATATCTCTGGTAGACTTGCAGGATCAAGTAGGCCAGAAGCTGAAAAGTTCTCTTATATGGTGTGCCATTCAGTCCATTTCAGCTAAGGAGGTCAAAGTTGTAGACTAGATTGTCATGATCAGATTGTCATTTACTGTGCAATGTCTAAATGCCAAAATCTATCTAAACTCCTCCTTTGCCTTATTCCTGATCAGCTTGTCCCAGGGGGCACCCAAGTTAAATCCTTCTGTTAGACAAAAGATAACATGGACTGCTGGCAGTGGACATCAGTGTCTCAGCTATTATATGATAATATGTCATTATCATTGGAGGGGCATGTAAAACATTTGCAAGGAGTTATTTAACAGCTTTTCTTGGGATTCTTTGGGGTTGAAAGGATTTAGGAGTTGAAAGGCTTTAGGACTTTTTAGGTAAGAATTAAAGGATTTTCTTTATATACAACGATGTTTGTCATAATTATTCATTTTATTGATTTTTTTCCCCATTTTTAACATATTATCATGGATTTAATATCCTGAAATAAATATATCTCTGAAGGGGGCAATATGTATTTTTTAAAAACAACTGTGATCAATGTGGAGTTATCCTGACAGATTAATGTAGAAAAGAAACATATTTAAAAGATTAGTATAGGGAGAAATGACCCAAACAATATATGCACATGTGAATAAATGAATAATAATAATAAAAAGATTAGTATAAAAAGGAAACATTTTTAAAAGACTGAAAATAATTGGAGGATATTTCTCAAAGGAAAAATGATTATATTATATTAAATGATAGGTTTCAAGACCTTTCTATATTTTATAGTGGAATTTTTCTGCTACCTAGAGATGTGAACAAATATGTTTAGAAATACAACCAAGTCTTTGTTTCTTTAAGAGTCTCATTATCCTTGTAACAAGATGATCAAACTGATAATGATACCATAAATTAAGTATAAATAGCCCTCACTAACAAGAAAAACACTGGTTGAATAACTTTTTAAACACACACACACACACACACACACACACACACACACACACATACTAATAATTTACAGGTATTTCCTGGTGAGAACATGGAAGCAAGGTAAGAAGGAAGAGGGAAATAAATTATCATGCTAAATTTTGCCTTCATTATGTCAAGGAAACTGGAGCTAGCTTAAGAAGGAAACAAATAGCTCCTTCCCTGGGCCTATTTGATTCTGCTTTTCAGGCTATTCATTCTTTATAGGAAACTGAAAATGGTTAGCAAGCTTTTTCACATCTTTAGGGAGGTCTTTCCACTTTTCCCCAATTCCATCATGCCCTAGTATACATAATGCCACCCAAATTTATAATATATCTTTTTTGTTCAGCCTGGCCACTGCAGGCATGTCCTACATTTCCCCTACCCAGACAAACTACTCTACTTCCCATCCCAGAACCATATCCCATATCCTATTCACACTGTTAGCCCACTCTAAGATAGCCCCCCTCATTTCCTCTCTGCCTTATCCCTGGAACCTGTTCACATGCTTCAAGAAAGTATACCTAAACGAAATACATTTATTACTTACAAGCAATGGTGTACTAGTAAACCTTTAATAACTGGCTCTCCTTGAATGAGAAGAGGATTTCTGAGTTGTAGTTTTTTTCTTATTCCTGTGGTATCAGTTCTCCTACTGCAGCCAATTTCAAAACTTGGAGACAGTAAAGGCTCCACAATCTTGCTCTCAAAAGTTGGTGAAAGCTGTCTCCAGTATGTAATAGGAAGAAACAGTCCAAAGCACTGTAACTCTGTCTCAAGCCATTGCACTTGGGGTTGGGAAGGCCACACTGGAGTTTGAACTCAGGCCCTCACACTTACTAGGCAGGTAGTCTAACACTTGAGCCACTCCACCAGCCCTTTTTTGTGTTGGGTAGTTTTGAGATAGGAACACAAGAACTTTTTTCTCAGGCTGGCCTCAAACAATGATCCTCTTGATCTCTATCTCCTGAGTAGCTACAATTATAGGATAAGCCACCAGTGACCAGCTAAAGTATTGTATTTTTAAGAGAGAAGAGATACTTTAATAGAAGCAACACTGAGCAGAAGTAAAGAGAATGTAGTTCTAGCTCTAATTCTTCCATTATACAACCAGGTGACCCTAAAGCCCATTAAATCACTCTGGGTCTTAGTTTCTCTTCTATAAAATAACAAAAGCATACTGAATAACTTTCTAAAGCTCACTTCCTCTTCATTTTCACCTTCTAGTGGAAACTTCTCTTCCTCAGCTTTTTTCTACTTCCAAGATCACAACTGCTTGCATTTTTAGCATTTCTATGCCATGTGCATTTTCCCCATCATATAGCATTGTCACATTTATCTCAGAGAAAGGAGCTTCTTTTTTTTTTGGGTACCAATTTCTTTCTTTCCATTTTTCTCATATGCCACTTGTGAACATAAAGAAACTGAATTTTGGCTTATTTGGGCACTATTATTAATATCATAAAGGAAAGGTCAAGAAGACTTTATATACCAAAGCAAAACTGGACATTCAACAGAGTAACAAATGGAATTCTTTCTATTTCAGTTTTGGCCATGACTTTAAGGCCTAGATACTATGTAACCATGAGGCAAGAAGAGCATTGTGCAGAACTGCTAGAAATGTAAAAAACAGGTCCACCAGCGTTAATGATCTCCAAGCAATAAGAGCTCTGGAATTGGAAGGATTAGAGAATTATGTAGAGAGTAACTGGAGTACGGCTTCCTCAACAGAGAAAGACTATGTTTTTGCCTTAAGCCAAATGAGAGGGCTGTCAAGGGAATAGTTGGAGAGTTTGACAAGGATCCCCCAGAGTTTAAGAGAAGTTAAAGGCTGATATAAGACACCATGGCTAGATTGGTCCACAGAAACAATACAGAAAAAAAAAAAGGTAGGAATTAGGATTTATGTAGAGAAGGTGTGTACCACAAAGTTGGGAATAAACCTAGGGGTTTCTTGATAGGATTGCTACAAAGGACAAAGTGACTGGAGAGATGAGTGAAGTCCAGGAATTGAGAACAGAGTCCATGTTAAACTTTACATCACTGTTACAATCCTGAGAGAAACAATTTAAAGGAGGGAATACTTACTTTGGCTCACAGTGGCAGAGGCTTGGCCCATGGTTGGCTGACTCCATTGCTGTAGCAAAGCAGAACATGGTGGCAGTAGGAGCACGTGGCAGAGGAGGCTGCTCAGCTTCTGGCAGCTGAGCAGAGAGAGAAATTGGAAGGGGTAAGGGACAAGGAACATCTTTGCAGATCACACCCCTGTAAACTATTCAAGGAAACACCCACACTCCAAGCTTCCATTCCTTGGTCCAGCTCTGGCTAGGTAATGGGAGAAAAATGTAAGGAGAACAGCAGGTTTAGACTATCATCATGGACTTGACTTAGAAGACTAGTAAGTACCAGAGAATAAAGAGTAACTTAAAATGCCTGAGATCTTCACAAAATTTCATCCAAGAGTTAGTGGAAAACTACTCAACATAATGTGTTAATGGGACAGAGGGGGAAAAAAAGCAAGGCTATTTTAGGAACTTTTTCTAATAAGTCCACAGTTTGTTGAATGTTTTCAAGGCCACTTAAAAATGCCTGGAGGGATCAGTTCATCTGCCCATTCACTTGCTCCTAACCAAGCGAAGTAAAACTTTATCTCCTTCAACTGTGTTGGCCCTCTATTTTACTTCCTTAGTAGTGCTTAAAACTGTGTTTTCTATTGCTTTTCACTGAAAATACACAGTATAGTTCTACTCCCTTAGATTTTTTAACTAGGCTAGAACTAGTATCTAAAACACTACTTGTAATATTCTTTATAAAGGAAAATATGTTCAACATTCAAAAATCAATGATTACAATGCAACCCATTTGGCAACTACATTCCCCTGTAAGTTATGCACCAAGGGTAACTGTACTTATAAAAGTCTTTATTCAAAATGATAACCCCCGACTAAAACTCATTATACCAATCTCCAATCCTTCAAAAGATATAGATGTTTTCCCAGAAGATCTGGTCTTGGGGATAAGGGAGACTCATTATTACATCTGTGTTAACTTGTCATGTTATGTACAGTCATGTACTCAGCAGAGGAATGGCACAAGCGATGACTTCCAGGCTAACATCTCTTGGGAGTTTGATTGACTAAGGTGATAAAGATGTAGTCTAAGAAATATGAACTTGCCCATGATGTTTTTCTCAAAATAGCAGCCAAAACCAATAGCCAAAAAAAGGACACAATACTGTCAGGTGAACAGCCATTTTTTACTACATTTTATACCAATTATTTCTTCTCACGTGACAGTAGGCATTAATTTCAACCCCAGACCTCTATTTCACATACCTAGGTTTCAAAACAAAAGAAACACTGCCCTGGGTATCACAAAAATGATATGACAGCCTACCATATGAGGAATCCTTTTAGACTGCCAGCCAACAAGTTTGGTTTTTGAGGCTACAAAACTTTTGTAGGGTAGAAAGTTGAGGTAAGAGAGAAAGAAGACAGTTGTCCTCTCTTCTTTGAGAGTTCTCTGTATCAAAACATTAACTACATTTAGAGAGGTAGAAAAAGTGATAGAAATAATAATCTAGTGTCTGCTTGTTTCCATGGTGTCTTCAAGGTCCAGCAGATTGTGTCCTTGGCTGCTTCCTCTCTTCTAAGGACATGCTAAGCATTCAAGAAAACCTCCAAAAAAGGGTCTCCTGCCTGCCTAAAGTAATCCACAGCTATGGGACTGGGAAGTAGAGAATGCTCTAAACTAAAACCTTATGATGGAGAATGTTCTCTCTCTCTCTCTCTCTCTCTCTGTATGTGTGTGTGTGTGTGCACGTGTCTGTGTGTGCACGTGTGTGTGTGTGAAGATACATTTCCAGCCTTCTAAAGCAGTTTCCCAAATGCAGAGAAAGAACCAGGTCACAAAACATTCTCAGATTCTAGCCAGGTTCTACATGGATACAAAGGCTTAGCAGAGAAATTAATTTGATTTAATACTGTAGCAGTGCAAATCAAGAAATAAGGGGTTTAAATGAAAAAACATTTTCCCTAGTTAGTTCCCTAACTCCATTGTCTCAAATTTCAAATATTATTTCAAGGCATAAGAAAAGAAGCATAGGGAAAAGGGACAAGAGTCACATTGCATTGTTATTTAGAGAGGACCCTCAGCATCTGTCCATGCATCATTTATTCACTTCATTCAATTATTCATTCATTTACAAGTACGAATTAACTATTGCATTCCAAGTGCTGTGCAAGTTGATGGAGCTGAGACTGTAAACAAGATAGAAAAGACTCGTGTTTCCATGAGCAAGCAGAGCACAATTGTACTTTTAGCAATAAATAAGGTCTAGCTGAGTCAAAGTCCAGACTCTGCTCCCTGATATACTTGACCAAGTTGGCCAACCTTTGTGGTAAAAATTCTAAGCTTGATACTATCTTCTGTCACTACCTAAAGTATGACATCAAACAAGTCATGAATACTTTCTGCTTCTCAATTGGATGATTATGGCACCCATTTTAATCCTTAGTGTACATTCAGCTGAGACTCAGAGAAGAAAATGAAGTTTTATAAAGCACTACTTCAGTAAAATGTCATATTACAAATACTGGGAAACACATGTAGTGAAAATTCTTGAGTTACCATTCTATTTGCTATCCAATTCAGCTCTAACAAAAAAAATGCCTACTGTCAAAAGATAAGAGCCAAAAGTATGAAGCAAGTGATGATTATAACTAAATATTTACACAATGCAACCTGAAGAACATATAACAAACACTTGGTTCTGCATAAAATCTCAAGCTAGAGCATAATGATGTTCTGCAGAGTTTCTTTGAATTATTCATAAACTAAGAAAAAGTAAATGGATTTTTCTATCAAGTAATCTTCAGAGCTTAAGAGAAATAAAACAAATGGATTTGCCAAAATAGACAAATATGATTTTTTTTATTGAACAGATAGGTTAATCCTGAAGACTCTAGAAAAAGAAGTTAGGAAATAGTACACAAGAGTTTGGATTTTTTTCTGCCTTTCTCTTCCATCTCTCCACTAAAAGAGCCAAGGATGGGGAACTGGGGCTTTCTTTACCTTTCTTCCATAATCCAGTAACATTTTTCAGCTGGAAAGTGGGCAGTACTTCTCAGCTGTGATCCAGAATGATCAAGGTCAGCTTCAGAGAGGATGATTAAAAGGAGTAATTATGGAGTGGACAAACATTGAAACCATAAATTAATGTAAATGTTTTGAGTGACTTTACCTTTAGGAACAAAATATATTTTTTAATAAAGGGAATGTGCAAAAAAAAATTCACAAGTGGGTCTACTGGGTTCCTTGGAAGGCAATTGGTGCCTGGGGGTTCTTATGTTTAGACAATGAGGACAAGGGGTTTAAATGCAAACCCACTGAGGAACCAAAACCTGCCATTGTGGGAGCAGTCAATCAAAAAGATTTTCAATGAATACTTCTAGCAGTGGTGACATTGTGGATGCAGTGCAGCTCAAGGAGTTGCACTTTAGTGAAAGCTCAAGACTGCTTTCCCTATCTGCAAGTCCTGGCACACATATATGGGAGAGCTCTGACACTTTTGTGAACAGACAGCTTGATTCGCTCACCTTTGGTGTGGTGGGGTCTACCTCACCCTAGCACACTTCCCATAGGACAGAATATTAGCTTGGCATGAGATGATTTATCACCTAGTCATCCGAGCAAGAAGAGGTTCTGTTGAGGCCAAGTTCAGACTCCAGTACCACCACCAAGAAAAAAAGAAAGAAAAGAAAAAGAGTAAAACTAATACTATGAGCAACTGTATAGCAACAAACTGGATGGAGTAGATGAAATTAATTTTTAGAAAGTCAGAAACTAACTAATCAAACTCAAATAATAACCCAGGTAGACCTCTAAGAAACTGGTGAAGGGGATGGGGGCATGGCTCAAGTGGTAGAACACCTATCTAGCAAGTACCTGAGTTCAAACTCCAGTAACCACCAAGGAGGAGGAGGAGAAAAGGAGAAGGAAAGGCGAAAGATGGAACTTGGATCCCTACACCTCACAAAAAATTAGCTCAAAATGGAGGATAGACTTTAATGTAAGAACTAAAATTATGGCTCCTAAAGGAAAATATAGGGGGGTAAAGTCATGACCATTAGTTATATTCTTAGATAAAACACCAAAAGTACAAGTGACAAGAGAAAATAATAAATTCAGCTTCATGAAAATGAAAACCTATGGTGCTGCAAGTGATACCACTAAGAAAGTGAAAGCCAGGCATGACTATGACTGAGTGTCATCCTAGCTACTCAGGAGACAGAGATCAGGAGATCAAAGTTTGAGGGTAGTCCCAGGAAAAAGCTGGTGAGACCCCATCTTAATAAACAAGCCAGGCATGGTAGAACATACCTGTAGTCTCATCTATGAAAGACACTTAGTAGGAGGATCACAATCCAAGGCTAGCTAGCCCTGGGCAAAAACATGAGACCCTATGTGAAAAATAACTAAAGCAAAAAGGGGCTGAGAGTGTGGCTCAAGTGGTGAAGAGCTTGCCAACAAACACAAGGCCTAAGTTGAAACCCCAGCACTGCTCCCTCCCCTAAAGGTAAAATGACCAAAGCGAACTGTTTGTGAATCATGTACCTGACAAAGGAATAACATTCACAATACATAAAAACACATAATCTGGTAATCAAAATAACTCAAATTTTAAAAAGGGCAAAGAATTTAAATAGGCATTTCTCTTAAGAAAATATACAAATGGTCAATAAACATGTGAAAAAATATTCAACATCACTGACAATTCAGGGAAGTACAAACCAAAACTACAATGTGGAACCAATTTAAACCCACCAGAGTGGTTAAAATATAAAGGACAAGAACAAGTGCTGCCAATGATGTGCTATGGAGACAGTGGAAATCCCTTGTCGATGGGGATATAAAATGGTGGAGCCATTCTGGGTATTAGGCAGTCTGTTCCTCAAAATGTTAGCACAGGATTGGGGAAGAAGTCTCTCATGTGGCAGAGTGCCTGCAGCAAGTATGAGGCTAAGTTTAAACCCCAGTACCACCAAAAAAAAAGCTAAACGTACTTATAACCCAGAAATCTTATTCTTAGATCTATACCAATAAAATGAAAGCTGATCCCCACAAAAAACACAGATGTTGACAGAAGCATGATTCACAGCACCTAAAAGTGAAAACAACCTAAGTGTCTATCAAGTGATGAACAATAAACAAAATACAGTGTGCTCAAATGACAGAATGTTGCTTGGAACAAAACAAAATCCCCAACACACTACAATGTGGATGAACTTTGAAAACATGCTAAGTGAAACAATCCAGTCACAAATGATCATAATTTGGTCCTATTTAAATGCAATGTAACTGAGCAACTCTAAGAGACAGGAAGCAAATGAGCAGGTCCTTAGGCCTGGGGCAGGGTCGGGAATGGGGAGGGAACAGTCAAGGGCAAGGGTGATGAAAATATTCTGAAGTCAGCTGCCATGATGGCTGCCACACTGCTGAAGTGCTCCCTTGAGATGGTGAGCACTGTGTATGTGAGCCGGATCTCCACAAAGCCATAAAAACACAAGTGAAAGGAGGGATGCTACTCCTCTTGCCTGGCTAGTTCTCATTTTGCCACCTGCATTTCTTCTCCATCCACCACTTACAAACCTCCCCTGCCTCCAGCTCCCATCACTGCTGTACTTCAGACAGAACCAGTCTCCTCTGTAACACTCAGTCTAGCCAGCCTCCTTCAGAAGACTTATCTTAATGATGGAAGCAATGAAACGGCAGAGTATGTGTAAGGAAAGACAATAATGGTTACCGAATGTTGCTTGTGTTTCAGGCAAAATGTGAGGTATATCAACACTTTACATTTACTTCAGCAAGTAAGCAGTTATTATCATGCTTATTTTACATATGTAATGAATATCTATTGAGCAACTATTATGTGCCAGGCTGTGTTCTAGATGCTGGTCATATTCTAGTGAACCAAACAGACAAAAGAAATCCTATTCCTGGAGCTCAGACAAAAAATAAAATAAATGAAATCTTAATGAAATGATAAGTGCCATGGAGAAAATGGAGCAAGAAATGATGAGAAGGGAGTTTGGTGGGAGGAAGGTTTCAAGCAAAAGCCCCGCTAAGGTGCTGCATGAACAAAACAGCTGGGAGAGAGGACACCAGGCAAGAGTCCTGAGGCAGGGCTGAGCCCAGTATGTTCAGGGATCAGGAAGTGGTGGGGTGGCAACAGGCAGAAGTGGAGGGAGAGTCCTGGAACTCAGCTGAGACGCAAAACTGGCCTAGTCTTGCAGGGCCCTGCAGGTCATAGAAGAACCTTCTTTGTGTTTCCTTTGAGGAGGACAGAGAACCACTGCAGACTGCAGGTTTTGACAGAGACATATAAAGAGAAAAATAATGGTTAAGAGGCTCCTGGTTCCTCAGGGTCAGGGCCAAAGCAACTGAACCAATCAAAATTCATTCCCTCTCTAAACTCTGAACCAAACTAATTGAGCTAGTAGCCAAGGTTAGGCCTTAAATGGAAAAGTGATGGAGACACAGGGTTGGGGCAGCTATTTTCTTGCACATCCAATCTGAACCAATAAAAGCCAACCTTCAAACTAGTGCCACCGTCCTACAGGGAAGAGCAGAGGCAAGATCAAGCCGAGAGATGGGGGTAGGGAGGCAGAAAGAGAAACTTGATACAAATCTCATTAGGGTCTGATGTCCTTCCGGTTCTTGAGGAGCGGTTTTATGGGCATTGCTGGACCATTTCGGGTGAGAACCCGAAATCTTATGGTGAACAACATGAATATACGTCTCGATTACAATCTCAGAACCTATAACTATTCCAGATCACCTAATGATTACCTGAATGTCTGAAATTAGCCTGAAAGTTCAATGAGGAGCAATGAATAAGCAAAATGGGTTTACTATAGATTAACCTAAAGGCTCTTGGTATGGCAGGGATCTAAGATTCCCCTGTAAAATTTCTATTAAGACAATAACCATTCTCAGAAACCAGAGAGAATGGTCTTCTGTGCGCATTCACAGGCAAAGCTCATTTCTCATGACTGACATGTTCAACCTATTTCCCAAATAAAATTTGACCTGAATAGACCATAAAGTTAAAAGAATCTCAGAACAGATTTTAATCTTTTCTTGAGTCTAAAAATGCAAACTATGCTGGCAGAGTGGCTCAAGTGGTAGAGTGCCTGCCTAGCAAGCATGAGGCCCTGAGTTCAAATCCCTGCACTGCCAAAAAATATATAGTTGAAGCATTTCCTACTTTGCTGGTGGAGTGGCTCAAGTGGTAGAACATCTGATTAAAAATGCAAACTAATTCCACATTGTCTGAATATCTTATTTTTACACAAAAGTGACCAATCAGAAACCATCAATATACATGCCCCTTTCATCTTAGGATGTGTATGTTTATTGTATCTTATTAATGTTGCTAAAATCTTACTAGGGAATAAAAAAGAGAGAACTGACGTCAATAGCTGGTGGTCTTGTTTCTTCTTATTCCCCCTTAGCCCAACTGTTTTACTTACCTGCATTTATCATTTCAGCACTTACTGGTCCTGAATGTGATTTCACAAATGATTTTAGGTGAGGACTGTGAAGCACACACTGCACCCTCTTTTGGGATATTCATCCTCTATTCTCCCAGAATCAAAGCTGCTGCCACCATTTCCCAGGGTCACCTAACGAAGAGTCCCTTGCTCACCCCTACTCCACTGGATCACCCAGCTGTCGTGGGATGGCTGTGGTAGCTGTGAAGGCACTCACCAGGGTGACAATGGCACATTCAGCAGTCAGCTGAGCAGCACTGAACAGTGTCCAAACAAATCGGTAAATCTGCTTCTGCTCTGGGTTGTGTTTGTCATAGTCTGGTGGCACTTCAGATTTCTAGAAAAAGAAGTATTTTCAGATACCTGTTCACCCAGTAGGAGCAAAAGAAAAAAAATCTCATGAAACACAAGGGGATTACCGAAAGAGGGTGAAGGTTTTCATCAAAAATATCTAACAGCATCCTTCCATCTGGGTCCCTGGTGGGGAAAACAACAGAAAATGGAGTTTTCTTTTAAGAATAAACGAGTTCCATTCAAAATACAACAAAAGTCACTTTGATTCAACTATATTTCAGGACAAAATATAACAGACACTGCTGGATAAGTTATGTTTCTTGTGGACAATACTTAATTCCTTTTGTTTTAACAGCCCAAGGAAATAAACAGTTGAATTAAGCAAAAATCTACACTTTAATTTTCTGAGTTTTCAAATGAACCAAATCAAGCAAAAGATTTAAATTTCTTTTAACATCTTGATTCTGAGCAAAGGCCAACAGATCTTCATACACCACTACATAGTAGCTGACAAGAAGTACCAAGGGCGAAAAAGAAAGTTGATGGATCCTTGAGATCAATCTGAAAGTGTCACAACATGCAGCTCAACTACTTCACTGATGAGTTTCACAACCTCACACTGAAAAAGAGGCAACAAGTAGGAAGGCCTCACTCAATAATCTGTAAGCCTGTAAAAGAATGGCTGGTAGTTTCCAGGCTGGTCACTTCAGAGAACCATTTAAAACTTCCACTGTGCACCATGCCTCTGGCTGTGGCCTCTGTAGGGACCTTGTATATCTAACCAGTGACAGCTCCACTTTCATATAATTTGAATTTTATCTAAAACATGTTCTTTAAAAACCAAATGTGGAAACCACTGCTTCTGGTGCACTGCATGTAATTCCCATAGTCTGTGCTTCCAATGTCAATGAGGCTAAAGAACATCAGAAGGCTTCCAGATCCACCCCAACACACATCCATCACATCAAACACTATGATTTCTGCCTTTTCTGCTCTATAAATTTACCATTATCTCCAAAAATGAAAGAAGAGTAAGCTAGCAAAACAGCTCAATTTTCATTCCTGCATTTGGACAATAGGAATTGTTTTAAAGCTCAGGGAATACTCTCACTTCTCTTCAGATCACAGAAATCTTTCACATTTTCAAAGAGTGCTGGGTACTGACACTTGTGCTTACTTGCACTTGCCTGCATGAACCCAGGCAGCATTGATTTAGATAGACCAGAGTCAAAGAAAGGTTCACACTGAGAGCAGAGCCTGAAAGCATGGGCAGCTCCTTTTAGGTGTCCCTGACTACATATCCTTTGACACTTCATGCCCCAGCCATGAAGAACCAGCAGACCCTCTCACATCCATTATTGCCTCTGCAAGGTTCTCAAGAGGCTGTGTGACACAAACCTAGTGCTGCACCCCATTTTGCTGAGCAGTTGGGGGTCCTGTTCAATTTTCTGGATGAACAAAAGCCCCTGAAAAGCTATCCAGCTACTCCAAAAGTAATTGTAAAAATGAAAGCAGAGATTAGAAATATAAGTGGAGATTAAGAATGTGAGCCAAAATGACTGTGGGGGGAAAAAAAGACCGCATCCTCTGAGATGTGGACTATTTCCTTTCCCTTTCATGGAAAGCTATATAACCCAGATGAGAGCACCATGTTTCTCAAGCTGATGGCTCTATGGCCAGCCAGCACCAAAGGTTTGCTCACTATGATTTGCATAGGAAAGATTCTGTAGTCACACCTCCACTTCCCTAGAGACTTACAGGTGTCAATCAATCTGAATGTCTACAAATGCTCAGTTTTTCTGGCTGAACTTCACTGACTTTTGGTCCAATTTATTGCCACTAATCTAGAGGAGTAGTAAGACTAACGGTTTGGATAATAGATTGGGTTCAAATCCTAATTACTCAATTTACTACTTATATGCTCTTAATACAATTATTTAATCTCTCTGTGCCTTAATTCCTTGCCAGTAAAATGGAGATACTATCAATATCACTTCACAGAGCTATTAAAACTAAATGAAGTAATGCATGTAAAAATGGTAAGAATTCTGAGTATGCACTTACTAAAGGTGGCTCTTATCATCACCACCTCTGGCTGAGGATCCATGACTTAAGGATCTATGATAGTATAAGAAGTGGGAAACCTGGGCTGGGGTGGAGCTCGGTGGTAGAGTATGTGCTTAACATGCATGCAACCCTGGATTCAGCACCAAAACAAAAACAAAACTGAGAAATCTCTTAAAGATGCTAATGCAAAACTGGTTTCAAAGCACATCTGAGTTACAGTAGTAATATTATAGGTTAGTTAAGGCTTCATAGTTTAAAAACTTTTCTACCATAGAAATAAACTGCAAGACAAAATGTACATTTTCACTGTTGTTCTAATTCAAGAGTTCCAAGGCTAAATGGAGAGAGTGAAGGAGGGCAAATATGATGGATGTACACTGTATATACATGTAAAAATATATCAACAAAAATGGTTTAAATTGTTCAAAGGGGGAAGGAGGTAGGAGGGAGAATGATGAAGGGGGTGAATCAAATTAAGATACATTGTAAGCACACTGTAAACATCACAATGAAATACCTGAACAACTAATAAAAAAAAAAGATTCCAAAGCTATGCTATTTTTAAGTCCTTACATCCAAAATTCTCTAGCACCACAGTAAACCACAAGTCACAACTATACTACAGAATGGAATCATGATAGAGAATACCTTTCCAGGTGTCCGCTTCAGATACTTGTGTTTTCCCAGAATACTGTTTGCTGGAAGCTTGGCTATCCCTCCACTCCCACTCCACTCTCCCCATTTGGGAGCAGCCTGAAGGTGTTGTGGATCCCACTGGTTAAGATCCATGCTTGCTACCTAACTAGTTCATACCAGTTGTACTCATTATACTTATACGTGTAAATATCACATTATTCAGTAAGAAATGACTGCAATAACAGAGGCCTTTGTTCTGAAAACTAACAGGATGCTGTGGATAATTTGGATGCTAAAGAAAATCATTGAAAATAAATTTGCTATAGATTAAGTGAAGCCAAAACCTGAAAAATTCGATATTCAGAATGTTTTTACAAATGTCTTTAAGTTTTCTTACAACTGGGGGAAACAAAAACCACTTAGAAAGGATGAATTATAGATGTGGCTTAATGTCCTAGATTTGAAACAGTTAACATTGAATTGCAAATAAACTGGCAAATAAATGCATTCTTTACATATTTTGTGTTGAAATAAAATGCTTATGGTAGATTTTTTTTAATTCCCTGTTTTAAACGACTTTTTAAATTAACTGAAACATTGCCAGGTGCATTATATCAGAGAGAGGACTTCTACTACGTTAACATAGTTTATGTTTCGTATACCAAAATTTCCTCAACTGAATTCAAAATATAAATTTAACATTTTCTTCATGTTAAAACTGCATATACAATAATTCTAAAATAACATGTTATAAAAGAGTGTTTAAATAAATTATACAGAAAATAATGAATGAAGAGGCAGCTGGACATTCTCAAGAATGTTTTGTTTCAACCACAAATACCCATTGGTGTCCTGTGACTTGACAGTAGTTCAGCACTTCCCTGGGAAGTCTATGAAAATATGAGTTAAGAATATAAAATCCAAAGGCTATGGCAGCTAGAAAATAACTGGAAAGCATAAAGGAAGATAATGTGTGATGTGTTCAGCATAAAATTCATCATTCACATACCTGTTTTTGATGTGATAATATATTGCAAGAGCTACACTGTAAAATGAAACACAGAAATTCAATGCATCATAAATGTATTCAGTATTTCATATATTATCTGATAACAGTCTGAACATCAATATTTATATAAAAGTCAAACACCTGAAGAGTCCTATTTCATTCAGAACACTGATCAGGAAATTCACTCTTCAAATTAAATCACTTCAATGTTCATTCCTGGGAATATTAAGTCTTTTCTAGAAACAACAGAACTTCAAGTGAAATTTAGAAATAAACTGCTCCACAGAAATAAAAGCTTCATCACTTGTGAAAGAGACACTATATAAAAGACGTGCTACAAATTAAACATCTTAGAAATCTCTAACTCATTGCCTACTGGCAATCAGCCTATCTTTGATTTGGACATTCCTCTCCCTTCTGAGTATCCCCTTTCTCTTAAGTGTCAAAGCCCCTGGCTAGAGTAAAGGTTTCGTCCTTGATCATAACCAAAACAAGTGAGAAATGCTGGCACTTGCCAGATGGATTCTGATGCCCTCCCTTTTAGTTGGGGCCCACCTACCCAGATCCCAGACACACATTTTAAAAGATGATACTTTTTAAAGCCACTGAACTATTAACTGAAGGAATTTCAAGTCTGGGAGGTGCAAAGAAAACGTCTTTTGGGTCAGGGGAGCCACATTATCTACACTGAATTACTTGGGCTCCACAGTTAGGTAATTCTAACTGCTGCTGCTTTTAAGCTTCTTTTCCCTCTACATCTTAGCCCAGAGATTATTCAAGCATTTCAAGGAGGTGCTGGTAAGGAAGGGGGAAGGCAGCTGTCCCCTTACACCAAGGTTCCTCAACCTTAGCTGCTTATTGGGACATCTTATGGTGGTTTCAAGGTCCAGATACCCAGGCTACCCCCAAATGTCAGAGAGATAATGAACATCAGAGTGTTTTTAAGCAGTCTGGGCTGGAACCAGTCAGACATACTTGTAACTTAGGTGCTTGTTCCTCCCAGGCTTGACCAATGAACTATCAACTGTTACCAAGTATTCCTACCAGGCTCTCATGTGTCTATGTCAAAACCAGTGGCAATTTTAAATCATCCAAGGGTGATGTTCAGAACTGAGTCAGATCCATTATGAGTCTCAAGAGCTCCCACAGTTCTTGAAAACAAGGCTGACTTTACCTTGGTGTCACATCTCACTTCCTGGGAAGAACGGGGAAGCTGGCAGCTCTCATCCTGGACTATCAGAGCTCAAGCAGGTACCAAGAGCAGCATGGTGAACACATCTTCAGGGCTTTCTATTTCTCTCCACAAGGCCAACCCACTTAATCAAGAAAACACTTCCAAGAAACACTGGCCACCCATTTCCCAGCAGTCAATTTCAGCCCAGAGGAGCAGTATAAGGTTACACAAAAACCTACACTGTGCAGCGAGAACACATCTCTTCCATTTGGGTTTATGCCCACTAGTCATTTACTATACTCAAAGGCCAGGTCAATGAAGGAGAGGTTACATTTCCATTAGAATCTCAGAAGCATGCAGCCCTACAGAGAATGAATTCTACAGAAAAAGCATCGCCATCCAAGTGATGGGACACTGTACATCGAAGCTGTTGTAGTAGCCACTACCTGACCAAGGCTGGGACTGTCACATGTAGTTCAGTTCAGAAAGGGGCTTTTAAAAACTTGATTCATTGAAAGAGATCACTTCATACCTAACATGTATTGCCATTAAATGTGTACTTTCTTAAACAAGCATACAAATACAACGTCCCAGATTCCTCACACTTGGGTTGTTGACCACAGGCTCCAACACTTCAAGTGCTCTGAGATACTTACCATGAGTGGCTGCTGACATTACAAGAAAAACCAGAGAATGATGGAGGGGGTGAATTTAACTAATGTATATTTTAAGCACTTTTGTAAATGTCACAATGTACCCCCAGTAAAATAATATGATAAATAAATTTTAGAAAAATTTTTAAAAGAAATAAAAATAAAAACCAGTGCTCCCTGCCTTCAGGAAACTGAAGCCCCCAAAAGGGAAGTGATTTGATCCAAAGCACCCCCTTCCTCCCTCCTAAAGTCCACTTGAAAATACAGAACTAAAGCCCCATGTTGAATTCCGCTAGAATCTTCTCTGCTGATGAAAGAGCCAAGGGCAGTCTCTCAACTCCAGGCAACACAGTTTACTATGCCAGAAGGTCTAGTGAACTGCAGCCCAAGTCCTCAACTGGGACTACAGGAGCCTTGTTTTATTTAGAAGGCAAACTAAGAGCTGCATTATGCCAAGATGTCTTCAATCAACAATGAAAGGGTAAAAGGTATGCACAAAAATTAAAAAATGTATCTTAGAGGTCATCTATATTTAAAATAATTTAAAATGTTCTTTTTTTGCATGATGATAATTGTAATTATAAGCACTGTCCTTTGAAAAACACTCTTTAGAAAACTGAATTTTTTATAATTCTATTTTTGTTATTTATATCAATAACTGCAAATTATCTATTTTTGTACTCAATTATATTACAATAATTTACTGTCTTTGTATTTATAAGGTATTATGTATGATATTGATAACTTATGATACCATATAATAAAAACAAGTTAAATAATAAAACAAAAATGTTATTATTTTTATATAAATAGTAATATGCAGAAATATTCCAAACACTGAAATCTTAACAACCAACCAAAGCCACTTTTTAAAAAGAATTCCTCATTTTCAGTTTTCCTCCCCTCCCCAAATTTTATCACCCCTCCCAGAGCCCACAACCAGCCAGCATCAGTGTAAAGAACAGAAAGAGCATTCAGTTAGGCAGAAATCTTCATACCCACCATTTAATTGTATACTTGAGGTTTGGTTGACTGACTGTGCTATCATCAAGGAAAATAGTGGAGCACGAACTGTATTTCCTTGCTATTTGTCCAGGAGGATGCTAGAAAACAATGCAACAAGACAAAGTCAATTACACAGGGTTCAAAATTCTTCCAATGAACATCAACCCTTCATATGAGATCAGGCAACAGAAAGAAAACGTTTTAATGAGAAGTGTTAACACTACCACCACCACCAACAGGACAAAAATACTTTACTATAAAATGAACTTCTTTGTTCTTATACATATAAATTGCCGCCACCACCACTCCTAGTCCCCAATCTTCTTCACCAGGAGAACAGTACACATTTACAATCAAGCATCACTGTGATTGTTCCAGAGTCCATAAAACTATGGGACCTCGGTAAAGTATGGAATGTATGGCTCTCTATTTCAAATGAAGCCTGTCATTAGGTGACATCTTAGTTTTATGCTCTAAGGTCAAGTCAAAAACCCACTGTCCCATTTTCTCTATTCTTGGGATATAGTTGACCTGGGGGGAATGGAAAATGCAGCCAAGGCTAATTTAAAATCTCCTGGCTAATCTGCTTAAATTTTAGCAAGGGAAGTTAAATAAAAGTATTCCTTTATTAAGGACAAAATGCATTTTGAAGGGAAACATTGTCTGATGCTTTTGAAAGCACAACCTTTACTAATAAACAGTAATTTAATAATAATAAAATGCCTTTAATACTATGCCTGTATACTCTTATGACTGGTTCTTTCACAATTACCTCAGTTTTGAGTTCTGTGGAAAATTTTAGAAGCACTTCCAAAAGGTAATGGTGAAGAAAATAGAGTTTAAATTACACACTGAGTGATAAGCGGATTTTGACAACAGCTTGGGAAACATGATTTGTAGACATCGATCTGGATAATTCATGGTCAGAAAAAAAATCAAATAATGCAAACAAGTTCCTACTTGCCTGATGCTATGTTGCCAATGTAAGTGTCATTTTCAGCAACCATAAGCCCTTAGGGATCATGAAATTGCCTGCCTGAGCTGCCCACAATTAGCAAAATCCTTGGGGACACAGTTCATGAATTTAGTCAGGAAGCTTTGATGCCAATTAAAGACCAAATGCCCTGTTCAATGCTTTGACATCTGCTTTCTATTTAATAAATTCCTTCCGTAACAAAATTATGAAAATTTGCAGCAGTCAGAGAAGTACATAAACAATGCCACAAATATAATTTCCTCTCAAACACTAATCAATACTGGTTAGTATTTTGGGTACCGAATTCCTTAAATCACAGCTAGAGGGCACTACACTAATAAAGCATTCTGACCCTCTCCAGCTAGCTCTCACTTTTTTAAACAGCATCAAGTCAGAGAAAAATAACTAAGAGTCAGGAACTCTAGTGTTCAGACTTGTTCTTAGGCTTCTCTCTTGAGCTCACACTATTAGGTGCTTGTATAGGAAAGAGCATGAAGAAAAGTTCAAGTTACAACTTAAGTGTTCATTTTAATGACATTTCCACATCAAGTGAATCACAACATTCTCATTAAGACAATCCAAAAGCATCAAAAACAATTCTCTTTCTCTTTTAATCTCTTACAGCAATTACCCCAAAATCACATAAGACATATTTAAAAAATAACAATCTATCAAAAGCTATAAAATGGGTGGCAAGCTCTCAAAATCCTTAAGGAATTTCCCTCACAGAGGCAAACATCTACCATAAACAAAATTATCAGTTGGGCAAGGTGTGGCACACCTGCAATTCCACAATATGGGAGGTTGAGGCAAGACGGGAGAGGTCAAGGCTAGTCTCGGCCACAAAAACAACAAAAATCAACACAAGCTATGTTTATCACAAAAATCCAGTAATTGATATGATGATGACTTTTTAGAGATATGGTTGTTAATAATCCCAACAACAAAACAAAAGGATTTCACTTCTACTTCTTATAGGGTTTCAACTACACATTTCATTAAGATCAAAATGTGACAGGAACTGCAAAGAACTAGTTTCCCTAAGAAAATACAACCATGAGGTCGGGAAGGAGACAGGTGATGCACTCAGGCAAGTACAGCCTGCATTCCCTTCTAATCTAAGACATCACCTTTGTGGGCTAAGAGCAGGAACAGCCCGGGGTGGGCACAGACAGAAGGTTCAGAGCATTAACTCGAAGCTAGTCATACAAAGCAACTCAGACCTTTCAGGATCACCCCAGCTGCTAGTTTGAGGATTCAGAACTAAGAGCTGATATGTTGAACCCTTAATTTTTCAAGGGAATGTCAAGTCAGCTTTTAAACTATTTAACAATTTTATGACTAAAAACCCTGAATGTTAAGTTGTAAAGAATTTTGGTTTCGGGGCATCTCATCAACCTAAATACGATTTGGCATTAAGTCATTGAGATTTGTACAATGTAAGTTTCTTTTGACCTGAAACCCTACGCCACTAAGCTGAAATCGCTAGAATCCTTCTACCAGGAAAGCTCTTGAGCCTAGGTCTGCTTGCCTGTTTTGGTTTTGGTTTGAGTGATTCCTCTTAGGATGTAGCAGAGAAGGGTAACATCCAACCACTGATGTGGGTCCTGTGATTCTTTAAACCTCTGAAGGCATAGAAGCATTAGATACATTCACTGAAACATATTTTAGCTTGTTCTTTTTAAGTGGCACACGGTATGTTGGATGGCTCTGTTTTAGTCTAAATATTTTAAAATTTTTGCCCATGATCTAAAAAAATCACTACACTTATACATGTTAGGGGTGGGGAGGGGTCACTCTTTCACTTAGGCTCCAGTCTCTGCTAGTAAAACACACAGCTGTTAAGATGCACTGGAGAAACAGCAAATACAGTGGTTAAGAAGACAGACACTGGAGCCACAACTTGGGTGTGAATGTGGCCCACTGAAACTACCTATGTGACCTAGGCAGGTCACTTTGCCTCTCTCTCTGAACCATTGTTTCCTTACCTGTAGAACAGAGATGAAAGTAACAGCCCCTTCCTCACAAAGTCATTATGAGGAGTACCTGAGTTAAAAATTTCTAAGTGCTGAAGAGCAGAGCTGACACCTATGCTTAGTAAGAAACCAAATACATTCACCATTTATAAGAATGACAGGAACGCTTTTTATGCCTAATGTCCATAACGTTTTAGAACATAAAAGAAAATGCCTAAGACAGTGCCTTACTTGATAAAGATGGTCATAATACTACAGATAGCTTCGAGAGATTTTCTCAAGAATGACAACTATCTCGAGGGCCAACCACAAACTCTGCTTATGAGGAGAGCAGGGTCAGTCTGATTAGTGGGAAGCTCAACTGTGTATTATTTCTAAGGAAGTAAATTATTTTTGAAACAATGTGTATTTTACAAATTAAATTACCAAGATGTGGAATTACAGAACTTCAGAGCTACACTGCAATGAGATCATCCAGTCTGCTTATTTATGTAATGTCCACAGTGAAAAATAATTTATTTACATAATGTCCACAGTACAAGGTCCACTGATACATAAAAATTATTGGAAGAGCTGTCATGTGTCCCAAATAACGAAGATTATCTTCTTAGATAATTCCAATATTGATGTTTGTTATACACAAAGACACACAGACACAGACAACCGCACACATACACATATACGCCTTCTCAAATCCCTAATATCCCTGTAGGAGTGTGCATCACAGACAAAAAGGACCCACTGTGCCCTGTCTGCTCACCTCTTGCTTGTTCCTCCCTGGCAAGTGGTTTTGCAATACCTCCCAACTTATCTCACACCAGGGCTACTAGTTCCTCCACCTCTTCCATCTGTCTTTCCAAGCTGGCTCACACCCCACATTCCCTTTCCATTCACAAAGAGCTCCCTGCTGCTATACCAAGAAGTGTTTCTCAGCCCTGGTATTAATTTGATTTTTGACTTGAAACTCTTCTTTGCAGTATTGGAGACTGAATCCAGGGCCTCACAAGTGTTCTACCACTTAAGCTACTATATTGTATTTTTTTTTAAAAGAGTCTTGCTAACTTGCCAAGGGTGGCTTCAAATTTGTGATCCTCCTGCTTCCACCTCCTAAATAGCTGGAATTATACACACGCACATGTGGCTCCCTATCTTTCTTGCTATATAGTCTCAGTCCCTTTTGTAAATTTCACTTCTCTGATCCCATCAAATGGAATGGGCTTTTCTCCTCCTGCTATAATCTCTCTGCTAAGGAGCAGCTCTCTTCTGAGCTCACCCTGCCTGTGTTACATGAATCTGTTCCTCCAGTCAACTCTAATGTCTTAAAACCACAGTGCCTCAGAACATTCTTGAATCTTCTGCCTTCCTTTCTTTTAAACACTTCCATCAATAGCTGTTGATTCTACTTCCTAAGTACCTTTCAGAAATCATCCTTTCCTCTTACAGTTCTCCAATCACTATAGGGTATCATTTCTCACCTGCATTACTGCAACAGTCATCACCTGCCTCTTGGCTCATTCCTCTCCTCACCATTCCTCTTTCTGCAAAGCAAATTATGGGACTTCCCTGTTTAAATGATCCTGAGGCAGACACTCATCACTTTTCATCTCTCCACATGCAACACTCACTTCCTCCTTCCATGCATGCTGCACCTAATTATGCCTAATTAAACCATGACAGGAAACAAATCACTTTTACTAATGCCCATCACATGTGAGCCAGCAATGTACGTGTATTCATGTACAGTTCACAAGCACACCAGCAAAGCAGGTATTTTTTATAGACAAAGGAGGTCAGAGAAATAAAGTAACAATTCCAAGGTCAAATCTAAGACACCAGAGCTCAGAGTCATGCTTTGTCTAGCTCCAAAGTCTATGCCTTCTTACATATAGAACTTTGCTGACACCATTCATTCTCCAGAACTCTGCTAACAGCCCTTTGTGGTGCCCCAAGACCTGTATGGCCCAGTGTCCCTCTATATTCTGCGCCCTGTTCTTGCCTTCCACAGCAACGACCACTCTCCACTGTCATTTGCTGCTCACTCACCTATGTTCTAAGGCCTAGACTCTGTCTTGTGGGTAGACTGTATCGTTTTCTTGAATCAGCAAATGAGAAGCAGCTCCATACCTGGACCAGCATGCCAATGACCATGGGAAAATTGCCTCCAAGATGGCAGCAGAGTCCTCTGTGAGCCCATGATATCAATGCAGCCATGGCCCAGCAAAGAGTGTGCCTATGACAAGGATCAGAAGCTCGTGGCAAAGTCTATGCAATTGGTAGTGAAAATGCTGACATGCCCAGACACAATGAAGTAGAGCAGTGGCTGGCAGAACCAAGGAGCCAAAGCTAATGTGATGAGATGCTCCAGGACAGAGGGTAAGAACACAGCTGCAGCCAGCGGCCTAGTGCTCAGGGAAAAGCTCTGCCACCTAGCAGTCATCTAAACATGGTCAGGCTACTCAAGGAGGACTCATGCGTCCTCCCTGCTGGTGACAGTCCTAATTTGGCCCTGCTGTCCTGGAGAAACCAGTGGCAGCACACTTTTTCACATCAAAAGCATCCTGAGTGGGGGGTAGTAGTTAGAAGATCACTTAGGCTTTAACCTCTCCCATGCCATCTGTGATACAGAAAACAGAATCTGTCCTCAATGTAAGGGCCACATGGGACAATACTTAAAGTGGTCACTCACAGACATGCTCAACCAATTGGGGTGACCATAATAACACTCCAGAATCTCTGGGCTTTAATGCTGCACTTTTAAAACTTTTTAATAGACTATTTTTTTTTAAAGAGAAGTTTCTGATGATATCAAAATTGAATGGGAAGTACAGAGAATTCCCATATACTC